CTCGAATACATAAAATCTTAAAAAAAAAAAAAAAAAATACTGCACTAAACGTACCTGTAGTGACTTGGGTAAATCTCAAAACATTACATATACGGTATGACACCATTTCTGTAAAAAGTGTCGTCTCGCAGAACCGTACTTTGTTTTAATAGATACTCACGAATGTGAAAGTCTGCAAAGTGGCCTGGCGGCTATACCACCAACTCCACTTACCTCCAGGTGGCAGGAGGGGCTGGTATAGTGTTCCAAAGGTTTCCATTTTCAGTGCATTTTTTTAATAGATGACATTGTCACTACCTCCTGATAGTTGGGAACACAGATGTCACGTTACTGAATGCTTCTCTGTATATTTTCAACTTCTCTGTGAATTAGTAATCAGGTGTGTACTGAGCATTTATTACAAGCCAGGTTAGGTTGGGTTCTGTGGAGGCTAGAGGCATGAATCAGCCACGGATCCTGCCCTTGTCGGATTCACTCTGGAGGGCAGATGGGGCATGTGCATGAGTAACTGGTACAAGGTAGCATGGTGTTTAAAGAGAAAAAAGAGTATTCAAAAATTAATGAATAACTCCCCTTTTTTTCTGGAGAGGTGAAAAAGCTTCTGTCTTAGAAGTGCTGAATTAGGGGCACCTGAGTGGCTCAGTCGTTAAGCGTCTGTCTTCGGCTCAGGTCATGATCCCAGGGTTCTGGGATCGAGCCCCGCATCGGGCTCCCCGCTCTGCGAGAAGCCTGCTTCTCCCTCTCCCACTCCCTCTGCTTGTGTTCCTGCTCTCGCTATCTCTGTCTCTGTCAAATAAATAAAATCTTTAAAAAAAAAAAAAAGTGCTGAATTAGGGGCACCTTTGTGGCTCAGTCGTTAAGCGTCTGCCTTCAGCTCAGGTCATAGTCCCAGGGAGCTGGGATCGAGCCCCACATCGGGCTCCCTGCTCCGCGGGAAGCCTGCTTCTCCCTCTCCCACTCCCTCTGCTTGTGTTTCCTCTCTCGCTGTGTCTCTGTCAAATAAAATAAAATCTTTAAAAAAAAAAAAAATGCTGAATTAGGAAGCATGTGTCAGAAGCTGTAGTGGGGTGGGGTTAAGTTCAAGGGAATGGATTCCTTGACAAGCTTATGTTTGCCAGAATATTCCGAGACATGTCTTAGAAGCTACCTATGGCATTAATATCATAAAGCCTAGAGAGGATGAAGATCCCCATCGATTTCCAACATCAGAAGAACTGTTGACGGCTTATGGATGTGAGTTGTGATTTATTTTAAAACATGAACAAAAAAAGTAACAGCATAGTTAATGAGAGAACTACTCCTGCAAAGATACAAATTCACATTTTTCCTTAGCATTTGTCATGTCATCTTCCAGCGTTGACACTTTTGTTGTCTCTGTGGGCCTTGCCCACAAGCTGTTCTGGTGGTGGGTTCAGAGTGCAACAGTGAGGGAGAGCTGACTGCTGCCTGAGTAGTTAGTGTGTGTTAAGCGCTTTCTAGAGTTAGAGAAGGAGATGATTTGAGTCCCTGGCCTCTTCTGGTCTGCCCTTTGTGGACCTTCACGGTTGCAATCAGTCCCGTTCCGGGGGCACATGTCTTCCCATGCTCTCCTGGTCTCGGGCCCCTCCCTGTCGGAGGCCTACATGCGGATGGGGTTGAAAGCTCGCACAGGGCGAGCCAGCCGCTGTCACGTGCTTGGAAGACAAGGCCCTTAGGGCACTCACTGTTTCATTGGTACTCAGGTGTAGATATGGATTCTGACTGAGGCCGTGTTGGCTTTTTCTGGAGTCTTCTCCCTTCTCTCCGGTTTGTTGGGAAGAAAATGAATATGCTGTCATAGCAGGATAGGAGAGTTGTGAGGGCAGCATGGGAAAGGAAAGCCTTCAGAGATTGGGACAGAGTGGAGCGTGGTCAGGATGGGAACACAAAACAGCCTTCCTCGCCTTCCATCAGTCCCTTGGAAACCTTGTTTGACATTAAAATGAGTCCACTGCTCTCCCACCTCTGTGTCTTACCCCAGTTCTATGTGGGAGCTATCTGCCTATCATTCTTCAACTGATTGTGATTTATTTACCTTAAATACAAACTTTAAAGGTGGTCTGGAGGAACCTACGTCTACCTAAAGAAATAACAATGTTAGAAACATTTCCATACATCTGTGGCATGCCTTTAAAGGAACTGCCACCAACAGGGAAGGAGTTCAGGTTATTGAGTGATTTGATACGAAGAGAAAAAACTTGTATCTTTCTCGCAGAGAAAGGTGATTTGATATGAAACACACTTAAACCAGAACTTGAACTTAGTTTAGTTGGGAGACTTTAAAGAGGATAAATACTAAGCAGTTTTGATGAGACTGGTGTAGTCACAAAATCACAGAACTAGAAAAGACCTTAAAAATCATGCCACCTTTCACCTCACGCCACCTTTCACCTCCTTTTTTTTAAGACAATCTGAAATCAGAGCATGAAATGACTTATCCACGGTGGTGTCTGGTCAGTGGTATAGCCTGGATGAGAACCCATTTCATAATCCAGACATCTCTCTGGTGCCAGAGCCTGAAAGATGGGGAAAGGTGGACTTCCACCAGACTTCCCATTTAGTTTGACTTCCAGATAAGATAAAATGAAAAGTAATTGAGTTTGAGTTTTTTAAGATCTGTCATCTAAATCTGATAAAATCAGAATAAAAATGGATGACCACATATGTACAGTTTCTAGGATCATCTGCAGGTCTGTAAAGAATAGTTTCTGACAGTTCATTTTAAAAGATGTTGCTAACTAACCTAATTTGCATATCTTTAAGTACTAGTGAAATGGGACATCTGTCCATATGTTAGCCATTTGTTTCTTCTGGGAATCACCATTTGCTATGCATCTTTTGTTGTCTTAATGATTTGTAGGAGTCCTTTGTGGTTTCTTTAACCCTGTAGACATTACCAATTTTAATAGCCTTTTTTTTTTTTTTCCTTTTTGGCTTGATGAGGTTTGGTGTTTTACTTGGGGAGGGCCTTCCCTATCTCAGAAGGACAAAATTGTTTCCCTCTAATATCTTTTTTTTTTAATCTTTAGATTTTTAATGTGTTAATGTGTTTTAATTTTTAATGTGTTTTTGTGTATTATGTGAACTAGGGTTCTCACCATTTCTTTCTAAACATGACAGAGCCTACTACACAGCTACTAGGTGAGGAAGCTGAGTTTTGAACCCCACCTGTCTGCCAAAGCCCATATTCTTAACCACTGTGCTCTGCTACTCCCTCTAACTGAGTCAGTATTAGAGGGGTCTGTATAGTATGTTGGAGAAACTGGAAAAAGCATAGATACATCACTAAACAAAAAGAGGCTTACTGTATTGCTTTTGGTTTTGCTAATAATAGTGACAACATAGCATTCTACAGGTAGCCTCCGTGATTAAATGTTCTTAAAATCAAGAGATGAAAGAACTAACTGGAGTAGAGAGAAATTGAACGTTACCGCTTGGTGCTAGGGTATCAGAACAATATCGTCTGTTTACCTGGATTCTCAGATGTCTTTATGGTGCTAACCAGATTATCTTCTACCATGATAGTTGCTTTTTTAAAGCATCCGGGTGGCTCAGATGGTTAAGTGTCTGCCTTCAGCTCAGGTCATGATCTCCAGGTCCTGGGAGCGAGCCCCATGTTGGACTCCCGACTCAGCAGGGAGTCTGTTTCTCCCTCTGCTCGTGCTCTCCCCCCACCCTCAAATGAATGAATAAAATCTTTTTAAAAAAATTTTTAGGGCGCCTGGGTGGCTCAGTC